CCACTGGTCACCTGTCATGTGATGGCAGGGTAGGGACATCCTGGCCCTCCCATCTTGGGGCTGAGCCCAAGGACAGCCTCCCACAGCCTCTGGTGACAAATGAAGAGAACACTTTGTGCGCCCAGATCTCCCTCCTGTCCCCGGCTCATACACCCCACACCCCTGAGGTGGGACGGTCACTCCCCACTGTACAATCACAAGACCTGGGCCAGATTGTGGGCGCACAGGAGTCGGGCTTGGATTTGACCCCAGGTCCTGGCTCTGGGCAGGGCCAGCCTCCAGTTGGACGGCTGTGTCAGGTGTGGGCTCTGCCCCTTTGGTGGCCAGCAGGGGGTGGCCTAGGCAGGCCTGTCCAAAGCCTCTTCCTGTCACAGACCCTGGAGTGGCTGGCTCAGCCAACCCTTCTCAGACACGATACTCTGACCCTCGGCTCTCTTCCTCACATGACCAGCAGGACCCGCATCCACCTGGGTCAGTAGCCGTGGCTGTCTGTCCCACAAGTTCATAACCAGATATCCATCCTGAGCCCTGGGGGCTCCCGTGGGGGCACTGAGCAGGGCCCCAACTGAGTTCAATGAGGGGGCACCCCTAAGTCTCCAGCCCCCAGCCCCCAGCCCTGGCCTCAGTGCTCCAATCACAGGAGAGCTTTCCTGTGTCCCGACCTCAGGCTCCTTTGAGCCGGGTCAGGGTATGGGGACTGCAGTGGGGACCCCCGCTCACGATCTGGTGCCTGTTGGTGCAGGTGAAGAAGGTGTCCTGGTCGTCACTCCTGAGGAACCTGTGGGCATGTGAAAAGTGCAGAAGAGTCCACAAAGGCAGGGACACACACACACACACCACACTCATGCTTTCTCCACGCACACTGGGGAACAGCCACCATCCCCTTTCCACCCCCACTCCACCCTCCACCCCCCACGCAGGATCAAGTCCCATTTTTGTCTTTTCCTTTCTGGAGGCAGGAAGTCACAGAACATTGTCCAGAAGTCATAGACATCCTCCATCCGGGACAGTGGCTGGCAGAGGGCAGGGCAGTGGGAAAGCCCCAGGGTCACCAAGGAGCCCGTGGCTTCCATGTGCATTGGAGCACCAAACATAGGTGTGCCATGTGACACACGCACACAGGAGAGGTGCCACCAGCAGCCAGTGAGGACTGACCATGACCATCTTCTGCCTCATTTGTGAGAGGAGGGCCTCCAGCCACCTGGGCCTGGGAGACCCTGCCACCCACCACGGACATGTCATTGAGTAGGAAATGGGCCGTGTGTCCAGCAACTGAGGCTTGGGGAACGTTTGTCTGCAGCACAACCTGCCTGTCCTGAGTGAAGTGGACGTGCACAGAAACTTGCCCACCTGCCACTCACGCTCCCTGGTTAAAAAGCTCCAGAAAGGAGAAGGTTCTGGAGGTTTAGATCTGTCACTTGTTGACCTCTCATACACGCATCCCTGGCTGTGTCCCCCAGCCCTGGGCACCGTGTGAAGCTGTCCCGCGGGCACAGCAGGGCCACTGTCTCTCACCTCGACAGCTTGCTCACTTTGAACTGGCAGGAGTAACACTCGGGGGGCACATTGGGCACGTCCTCCAGCAGGACATTGGGGATGCCCAGCCACTGCAGCAGGCTGGCCGACCAGTTGCAGGCCTGGTTGGGCAGCTCCTGGAAAGGATCATCACTTGTTCCTCCCACCCCTGAGCACGATGCCATGCGGTGGGGTGAGGTGTGTAGATTTGCACTCTGAGCAACAGCGAAAGGGCTCAGCCAGGGAACGGGCAAGCCCCTTCCTGTCTCGGGCCTGGGTGCTAGGGGGCTCAGCTGGTCCAGCTGAGGCCCAGATTTCAAGGTAGGGAGGTTCAGACGGTCACGTGTCCCTTTGTCTACCAAATGCCATGATGGTCAAAGGGAGCCAGAGTAGGTGTCAGAGCAGCCCCCAAGCACATCATCCGGAGGTCACCCGCTGCCCCTTCACACTGTGTCCCCAGGCTGCCCCTCCCCCTCCTGCAGTGGTCCTCAATGGGCAGCCTGGTGGGGGTCGGGAGCTGGAGGGCCCAGGTGGTTAGACTAAGCCATGGTTGCTGCACACACTGCCCATGCCTCCCTACCTCCCCAGAGCAGCCATGGTTGTGGGGTATGACCGCCCCACCTGTCTGCCTAATAAGGCTTCCTGGAGAACAGTGATGGCCGCTAGGAGGGACCTTTGAGGACAAAATGGGGAGCCTCAGGTTGTCAGCAATGGACACTGCACCCAGCACGTGGGGTGCAGTCATGAGTAACCCTGGTTTGGGGGTACCTCCAGGCCTTCTCTGCATGTCATGCACTCCCGGGTACCTGCAGGGGCAGCTTCAGGCGCAGGTCTTCCGCGTAGTAGCAGAGCACGGCCCAGGGGGCGCTGAGGAGGATGTAGTGCACAGCGCTGTCCTCATCCTGTACATGATGCTGTGGGGACCAGGGCTCTGTCAGAGCCTGAGGGTGCCCTGTGTACATGTGTGCCCATGTTTGCAGTGTGCATATATGTACATGTGTACACACATGGGTGCGTGTTTGTATGGGTGCACATGTGGGTGAATATTTGTACACAGTGTTTGCACGCACGTGCATGTGTGCATACGTGTGTGTGTATGGGTGTGTGTGCACACAAGGGTGTGTGCCCTTGTGTGTGTGTGTCCATTCACACTTTTAGGAAAAGGCAGATGTTTCTGTAGCCATGTTAACAACCAACCAGCCACGGTTTTAAACCTATTTGATAAGTGACAGCGCCTCTGAAAGCCAAGCACAGGGTGCCTGCCCCTGTCTGGAAATCAGGCAATCAGCGACAGACAGAGGACACCAAGCTACTAGGGCCGATACCAGCCATACCCACTGTGATGAGCAAACCCTCCCCAAGGCCTGAGCTCAGAGTACTGCCCAAGCAGCACTGCTCCCCTGACTCAAGTAGGCAGTCACTTTAACACAGCAGAGTCACCAGCAGGTGCTCTATGCAGTGGCTGCCAGGCCGATGCACCAGTGATGCAGGCGGGTTTTCTGGTGAATCTGAAGGGCTCTGGCTTCTTTGAGCGAGCTTGTGTGCTACGATGGGTTGATATTTTACCTGAGGGGAGGGCCATCCAGTACAACTCTGGGCTTGACTTGTTGTCATGCCCCCAAGCCTAGTGGATGCAGAGCCTAGGGCCCTGCCCGCAACCAACCCCTGTACCTGGTCCACATGCAGGCCAGCCACACGAAGGTTATCCAGGAACGTCTCCCGCCAGGCCCTGTGTGTGTCTCTCTTGTCCTGGGTGGCACTGTCCTGCTGCTGACCCAGCCTCAGGTCTTCCTCCCAAACAAGGACAAAGTCTGCTGGGAACCAACAGGGACAGAAGCAGGGAGGACAGGCTCAGGGGTGCCAGTCTCCCAGCTGGGACACCCAGGTACTGGGTGGGAAGTAGGAGTCAAGCACTTGGACACTGGCCTACCCCTCTATACAAGAGGATGTGGTCATGGTCACAGGGCCCAACACATATGATCTGAGAATCAGAGAGAGAGAGAGTAGGAAGAAGCACTTTTTAAAGAAAAATGGTCAAGAATTTTTAAATCTGATGGGGAAAAAAATTGTGGCGAGCGGCTCCCAGGTGGTTAAGTGATATAGGCTGCGAAAGTGCAGCAAGTAAACAAAGCTTGATCAGGTGCATGTAAATGAGTAGATTCCAAACCCAGGAGAACGTTGTAAACATCTTGACCACACCCTTACTTTGCCTCATGGAATCTGGCTATAAAATAAAGACTCGGTTTGCAGGCCGTGACGCTGTCTCTCCATCAGAGAGGGCAGCATCCCACCCAGCCTCAGCTTTCTTCTCTTGTCTGTCTTTTCTAATCCTTCACTGCCCCCTCTCAGGTTCACCCATGGCCATGCTGGCGCGGCACAAAAATCAATACAAAGAATAAAACATCTCAGTGATCCCCAAGCAGGATAAAGAAACTCCAGCTAGAAAAACCATAGACAACGTGTCTTTGCTGTGCACTACAGAGAAAGAGGGGGAAAAAACACCATTATATTTCAGGGAACAATAAGAGTATGGACACCCGATTTCTCAACAGAAACCATGGAAGCCAAAGGACAGTAGAATAGCATGTTTAAAGTGCTGGGGAAAATACGGAACACTGGAATTCTTATTCTGTAGAAATGTTCTTCAGAGATGAGGCTAAATGAAAACATCCTCAAACAATCAAAATCTGGGAAATGAAGTCCAGCACACCTGCTCTACAGGAAACACGGGAGGAAGTCCTTGAGGCCAAAGGTGATACTCTCAGATGGAAATGCAGATGAGCAAGAAGAATGAATACACTGCAAAGGGTAAACAGTTAAATGTGAAAGTAAAATGACCTATTTACAGAGGACATGATCTTGTATATAGATATTCCAAAGGAATTCACTACAGAAACTATTAGAACTAATAACAGGTTTGAGAAGGTTGTTAGATACAAAATCAACATATAAATTTCAACTGTAGCCCTGGCCAGTGTGGCTCAGTTGTTTGGAGTGTTGTCCATGCACTGAAGCGTCATGGTTCAATTCCTGGTCAGCACACATACCCAGGTTGTGGGTTCAATCCCCACTCGGCGTGCATATGGGAGGCAACTGATCAATGTTTCTCTCTCACATCTATGCTTTTTTCTCTCTCTTTCTCCCTCTCCCTTCATCTCTAAAATAAATTTTTAAAAAATCAATTATATTTCCATATATTAGTAATAAACAAGCCAAAAATGAAATGAAGAAAAACAATTCCATTTACAACAATTCCATATACAACAGCACCAAAAAAGGAACAAATTTAAAAAATGTGCAAGAATTATACATTGAAAACTACCTAATGTTGTTGAAATACATTGAAGACGAGTTAAATAAATGTGAAGCATCCCTTGTGCATGAGTTGCATGTGAAGAAGACATCCTGGCAAGGATAGCAAACTGATTTACAGGTTTAATTCCTATCAAACCCACAACTGCCCCCCCCCCCCGAAATAGACAAGTTTGAACTTCCTGTGGAAACACATGAGATCCAGAATATTGAAAAAGAACAGAGTTGGCCTCACCGGTATTGCTCAGTGGTTGAGCATTGACCCATGAACCAAGAGGTCACAGTTTGACTCCCAGTCAGAGCACATGCCTGGGTTGTGGGCTCCATCCCCAGTGTAGCCCATGCAGGAGGCAGCCAATCAATGATTCTCTCTCATCATTGATGTTTCTCTCTCTTCCTCTCCTTTCCTCTCTGAAATCAATAAAAATATATTTTAAAAAGAATGAAATGATAATAAGACTAAGGAGAAAATATAGCGATAAATCCTCATGACCTGGATTCTTAGATACGACACCAAAAGCACAGCAATAAAAGAGAATATTAATAAGATGGACTTTGTCAAAATGAACAACCTATATGCTTCAAAGGACAGTGGCAGGAAAGTAAAAAGGCAACCCACAGAATGGGAGAAAAACATACTTGTAAATAGTGTTCTGATAAGGGTCTTGTATCCAGAATACATAAAGAACTTTTACAACTTTATAAGAAGACAAGGAACCCAATTTTAAAATGGGCAAAGATTTTGCATAGACATTTCTCTAAAGAAGACATACAAATGGCCAATAAGCCTATGAAGAGACGCTCACTATCATGAGTCATTAGGAAATTACAAACATGAGCCACATAGAGATGCCACTTCACACCCACTGGGATGACTGTCATCAGGACAGACAGTAAGTGCTGGACAGGACGTGGAGAAACTGGAAGCCTTGCACATTGCTGATGGTTTGTAAAATGGGCTGTCACTTTGTAAAACAGTTTGGCAGCTCTTCAAAATGTTAAACATTGAGTCACCATGTGACCTGGCAATTCCACTCAAAGATGAACACTTACGACTATGCAAAATCGTGTTCGGGAATGTCCACCAAGATGTTATCACAACAGCCCCCACTCCCCTCAAATGGAGACAACCTAAATGTTCATCATCAATTCTTTTTGGGTCTCTCCAGAAGTGGGGTTGCTGGGCCACATGGTAACTCTATGTTTAAAATTTTTTTAATATATTTTATTGATTTTTTACAGAGAGGAAGGGAGAAGGATAGGCAGTCAGAAACATCGATGACAGAGAAACATTGATCAGCTGCCTCCTGCATACCCCTCACTGGGGATGTGCCCGCAACCAAGGTACATGCCCTTGACCAGAATCGAACCTGGGACCTCTCAGTCCGCAGGCCGATGCTCCATCCACTGAGCCAAACCGGTTAGGGCATAATTTTTTGAGGAACCTCCATACTGTTCCCCACAGGGGCTGCACCATTTCACATTGCCACTAGCAGTGCACAGGGTTCTAATTTATCTGTATCCTTACCAACACTTGGTATTTCCTGTTTTTGTTGTTGTTGTAAGTGGGTGGGGGGTGAGGGCACATTAACAAGGATCTTTGCTGCATGGAGGGCAGGGTCAGGTGGGTGAGCCCAGTGGGGTGCAGTCCTCTCAGAGATGATGGTGGCTTGGGGCAGACAGGAACAGTGGGGGTGGGGTGAGGAGAAGGTGGAAAAGCTATGGGGTACAACAGATAAGAATCTGAGGTGAGCCCTGGCTGGTGTTTTTTGGGCATTGTCCTGTGCACCAAAAGGTTGCTGGTTCGATTCCTGGTCAGGCACATGCCCCGGTTGTGGGCTTGATCCCCATTGGGGATGTGCAGGAGGCAGCTGATCGATATTCCACTCTGACATCGATGTTTCTCTCTCTCTCTCCCTCTCCCTTCCCCTCTCTCTAAAAATCAATTAAAAATAAAAAGAATCTGAGGTGACTCCAAGCTGTCCTGAGTCCAGAGCAGGAGGGAGATGGGCCCCCACTCTGCCCTCCAGAGCTCTCTCAGCTCCAGCCCCTCAGTAGAAACCCCCTTTCCTGCTGTGCCCTAGACCAGTGATGGTGAACCTTTTGAGCTCGGCGTGTCAGCGTTTTGAAAAACCCTAACTTAACTCTGGTGCTGTGTCACATATAGAAATTTTTTGATATTTGCAACCATAGTAAAACAAAGACTTATATTTTTGATATTTATTTTATATATTTAAATCCCATTTAACAAAGAAAAATCAACCGAAAAAATGAGTTCGCGTGTCACCTCTGACACGCATGTCATAGGTTCGCCATCACTGCCCTAGACTGTGTTCTGTTCACCATGGGGCCCACACCCCATTTCCCAGCACAGCAATTGGCACCAGAGCTGACTCAGGAGATAGTGCTGGGGTGGGGAGGGGCAGCCTGGTCACAGAGGATGGTGACCCAGACCTGCTGTCCTTCTCCTACCACCTGGGGGTGCCCCATCTGTGTTCCCACCCCCAGGACCAACACAGGAACAGCTGGCAGATACTGGGAAGGGCTCACCGATCTGGGGCTTGGCAGGGTTCCCCACCCTGCAAGTGGCCGCCTGGTGTCCATCGGGCTGGAAGGAAAGCACCTCACCGTGAGAACGCACCCCCACCCTGCCCTAGACCACCCAGGAACACGGAAGGCCGAATGGAGGGAGACACTATTGGGTGTGGGCAGGGGGCCCATAGGCACATCCAGGATGAGGCAGCCCACGCCCTTCCTGCCCGCCCTGGCTTCTGTGCAGTGAGCAAGGGTCAGGTTTGCAGGCAGCATGGCCAGTACCCAGGGTGTCCACCCTGCTGGCTCCAGGGGCTAGAAGGGAGTTGGGCTGCCCTGTAAGTGGCCTGTGGATGGCCAGAGGTGGTCATGCACCCAGAGGGCAGAATCCTGTTCTGGTGAATGAGGCCTTGTGTCCCCCATCCCCAGACACTGTATTGTGGGGCAGCAGGAAGGGGCCCGTGTCTGCTCTCAGCTGTGGGGGTGGGATGGGCAGCACCCGGAGGCAGACACGAAGCCCAGGAGGACCAGGAATCCTCCCAACAGCCTCACTCAGGGTGTCTGTGACCCCCCCAGCCCCCAGGGCCAGGAATGGGAGCCCAATGTCCCCCCCTCTCTCCTCCATGCTGATGGGATCTGACCCTGCCGTCTCCTCCACCTGAGTGGCCTCATCTAGCCATCCCAGGGGTCAGCGAGGCAGGCAGTGACCTAACTGTGACACCTCCCTCTTCCCAGGCAGCTTGGGGACACTGGAGGTCCATGCAACAGGTGAGGGCTTGGCGTCTCCAGGAAGCATCCACCCCAGGGGCCCGGGGCCAGTGCAAGCCATTGTCCCCAGAGTCCCTGTGTCCATTCTGGGCGTGGGGGCCCAGAGACCCTCCAGTATCCACCTTAGACCATGGCCTGAAGCCCAGGGCGGGGAGCCAAGGGGCTGTGCTGGGCCTCCTGGACCCGAGGTCCCTGGTGATGGAGAGTTACCTGTGAGGTGTTGGCTGTGCTTCCGTAAGAGTCCCCCTTCTCCATCCCCGGAGCCATGTCGATTAGGACAGCACTGTCCTCCTCTGGGGCCCGCCTCCGCAGCATCCCGCTCCTGCACCCGCCAGGACCAGGGTGGGTGCCAGAGTAAAGAGGGGCACGTGAGACGTGGCTGAACCACCGCACAGCCCTCAGACCCCTGACAGGTGAGAACAGGACCCAGGGGCTGCAGGCAGGGCCAGGCCAGGCTGGGCCGTCTGACTTGGGACCACGTGAAGACCCCAGAACTGGGTGAGGGAGCTGCCTACTTGTTTCTCTGTCTGATGAGTACCCACCTCCCCCTCAGCCCTGCATGTGGGCTTGGAGCACGGGTACCCCTCTTCCTTCTGTTCGCCTGTGGGGGACAGACGATACCCTTTAACAGAGACAGGACCCTGGCTCCTCCTCGGGGTCCTGGGCCAGGTCGTGCTGAGTCTGCATCCTCCCCCTCCCCCCTCTGGGTCCCTTTGTGGGGAGGACAGTCACCATGGTTCCAGTTGACGGGTTGGCAAAGTGGGGCAAAGAGTGAGAGCAGCCCTGTGGCCTGGAAGGGGATTGGAGTTGAGCCGGGGCTGGCGGTTCACACCAGCAGAACTGGTGTGGCCCTGAGTGGCATCACCAGGGTCACTGAGCTGGGAGGCTATGTGGGTGGTGGAGACACGGGAGGCCAGAGGGGACAGGGAGCCGTTCATCTAGTCCAGATAGACTGAGGCTGGAGGGGCAGACGTGGTGCCCACACCTCCTGACCCTGCTAGGTTCCAGATGCCCCAGAGCCAGTGTGGGTGTGGGGCGTTCCTACTGCTGTGAGCAGGCGGGGAGGGGGCCTCCTCGGTGCTCTGTTCAGAAGACAGAACAGAGGATGCCCCAAGCAAAAGGCCAGGAGTAACCTGTTCTGTGGTGGGTTCATTGGACAGGTGGGAAAACTGGGCTCCCTAGGGTTGGGGTGCCCTGCACAAAGCCATTCTGAGCACCTGGTCCTTCTCATGACCCCCAGCCCTGTGCCAGGTCTTGGGGTGCCAGCCTCCCTGGAGAATCCACCCCTTGGAGCCCTGGTGGGTTGGGGTGCTCACCAGCCTCCCTAGAGTCCATCTGCCTACCTTCCTCCCTGTGCCCATGCGATGTAGAACAGTCCCCACCTGGCACAGTGGCTTCTTCCAGAAGAGGCCTCGGAGGTCATGGACCACTTCCAGCAAGAGCCCGGTCCGGGCAGCGAGTCTGGGCTGGTCCCTGGGGAGGACTAGGTGGGACCCTGTCCCGGTAGGCCTGTGCAGGCGGTGACGGCCACTCTGGTGTCCTCACTGAACTCAGCAAACGGGCAGGCAGAAGAGGTGCCTGGCACGGGGCTGGGCAAGGTCTCCCAGCTCCCGGACCCAGGACCTGCCTCTGTTTGCAAAGGGGGTGTGCTCTCAGATCTGCAAACAGGCAATGCATTTTCCTAGAGCCTGCACACCCGCATGCAAATGCTGCCGTCTGCTTTCTGCCCTATTTGCTTAGGGAGCTCAGTGCCCACCAGCTGCTGGCCTGGAGGGCAAAGGAGGGGTGGAATTCAGCTGGATGGCCACAGGTGGGCTCGTGTCATCCTCACCTGGTGCTGTGCCCATAGGGACATCAGGGGACCCAGGTTGCAGAACCAGCTCTGCTACTTCCTGGGTGTCAGGGCCCACCTGTAAGAGGGGATCCCAGCCCTCCTTCCCGTGGCCCTGCGCCTGTCTCCTGGGAGCCCATTCCCTCGTCCTCACAGCCTTCCCCGCCAGATCACTGAGCTGGAGGCTGTGTGGGTGGAGGAGAACGGGAGGCCAAAGGGCTGTTGTGCTGTGTGCGCTCCTCTGCCTGTTGAAACCCCTGAATCAGACCCTCGCCTAGGCTGGAGTCCTGCTGGATTCCTGCACCCCTTCCATAGAGCCCTTGAGGGGAGAGTCAGATCCCTGTGGCTGGGCTCTGTCCCTTGTACCCAGCAGAGCCTGGATGGCAGCTGGGATGCCCTGGGCCTGAGAGCAGTGGCACAGAGGTGTCTGTCAAGGGTCAAGCTTTCCACACAGACCCTGAGGTGGAATCCTGTGCAAGGGTTGGATTGAGGAGGGACTCAGGGCCCAAGAGTGGGAGGCAGGCTGTGAGGAAGGAGGTGGCCTCAGGCTGACCCCACCGAGCTTCTGCAGGGGAGGCGTGGGCCACCCCATGAAGAGGACAGCTCTAGGGGGCTCTCTGCTCTTGGTGGTAAAATGGCTATGGTGGCCACATGGCTGTTGGTCCAACAAGAGCAGCAGGGAGCAGGAAGTGGAGCCTGGAGGGACATATGCATGGGGGACACCTAGATGAGGACTCATCTGGGTATAGTTTTCAATTTTTAGTCTCTACAGTATTTTATGGCTTGAAACTTTTTTCAAGTTGTGTTACTTTTGCAGTTGTGAGTGAGAGAGAGAGAGAGAGAAAGAGAGAGAGCGCGCTACAACCAGCAGAGGTGTCTCCTTGGGTCCCAAGCTCTAGGAAGAGCCCTGCCCAGGACTTGCTACATCAGCTTTATTTGACTATAACTTTTTATATCCATTTATGTAACATTTAGAAATACATTTAATGGAAGTTAAAATGAAAAGCTTCCAATTACTGCAGCTTAAGAAAAAAGACCTTCCCTTTGGTGTGAAGGCCTCCTTTGCCCTCTGCCCGGCCTTTTCCGGGCTCTGTCAGTGTCTCCTCACCCTCTTCCTTCCCTCCTCCCAGCGCCCCGTCAGCCTCCTCCAGGGCTGTTCTGATCAGTTTGGCCCTTCTTCAGGGTCATCCCGCTCCAGCTAGATCCAGTGACTCCTCAGTGAGCACGCCCAACATGCTCTTGCCTTCTTCCCTCGCACACATCACCTTGTACCTACGTGATTAATTATGGTTGCCTGATCTGCTCCCCTCCCCTGGACCTGACAGTGGGAGTGGCACAGAGTGGGTGGGCTTTCCCTCTTTGTACCATCAATAGTGCCACCCACTGGCTTCTCTTTTCAACCCCACCCCCTCTCTAAAACTAGCCTCCTACACTTTGTCGTTGGTTGTTTCAAAACTCAGAGAGGGTCGGTCCCTGCTGCCCAGTGCTCATGAGCACTCTCAGCCTGGATCCCCTGCCCACCCCATCCCGTCTCTAAGCGTCCCTTCTGGAGCTGTCCTGTACCTCTCCAATGGAGATGCACTTCACGTGGCTGTGGCCTTGTCGGTCCCAGCATGGGCACCAAGGGTATTTCCATTTGAGCTCAGGCGACCCAGGTGCATGCAGGGTCCTCTGGTCTAGCTAGCACTTCTTTTGCTCGTGGCCCTCTGGCTTCTCTTG